ACAAACAGAAATGGAGATATGCATCTTTGGAAATAAGCTCTTCAATTATGCACAGAAATTTGAGCATGTAAATGAAGATTGAAAATATGATCAATTAAGTTGCTCAGGCACTCTGTTTGATACCTGCCAAATGCAAATCTGTGTCTGGCTGACAGGTCTGTCTGTGACATACAATGGAGAGAAATTCAATCCATGCACAGTTTCTTATTCTCTGGAATCTTTACTCTAAATCACACCTAAAAATCATATATATCATGACATAGTAAGTTAAATTATGAATGCAAGTAGCAACAAGCTTTTGGCAAGAATTGGTATGAAAATATTTGCTCCCATGTAATAAATTTTTTTTTCAAAGACAAATCAGCTGAAGGCATTATCTATTATCCTTTATCATAACCTTTGGGATATAGATAGTGCATTTATATGAAGAAAACATACAAAGATAGTGACATTTATATCCAGAAACACAAGGGGTCATATAAGAATTTGCTCCGAGTATCAGAGAAACTGTATGAAAAAATGTGAAAGAGATGGGGGGGGGTCATTGACTCAAAAGCTGAGATACAATACTTAGTACAGGCATCTTTAAGAATTACACAGTCTAAATGGTAACTAATATATTAAATATCATTGTTAAAATAATTATTAATTTTTTTTTTAAAGTTCATTATAGTCACTAATTGAATAAAACAGTTGCTCAGAAAAACATTTTTATGGCCACTTGTGTGTTGATTTTAATCGTTTAATGTAGTCAGGCAATGTGCTCTAAAATAATGAACATGTATTGTACATGCATTTTTTATAATAAGTTGTTGATATTGACACCTCATGAATATGATTACTACATAAAATATTATAGTTTCAGGTACCTCTTTTAGCAAAAATATCCCCATGCCCAAATGTTCCGATCCTTGAATAAAAACATGGATTCCTAAAACAAGACGCAAGGCAATAGTGGAATTCCTAGCTTAATTAAGAAAGAGGTTTGAAAGACTCGCATGGGAGGAAATTGCTTATTATTCGTACAATTATTTTCCATAATCTAAATGTTTGGGAGCTACAGGATATTTCCACAAAATATTATACCATGTCACAGTCAGAAATGTACATTTACAAAATCTGTGTGCAATGAGCAAAACAAATGTTGAAGGAATATAAAACCAGTTGAATGTTCACTGGTTCAATGAATGTTCACTGAATATGAAAGTATTCTGAATGCATAGCATAACAAATTCAATTTTTTGTTAAATTCATTTATAAGGATATTCCATTTGACACTTGATAGATTTGAGAGCACCAATGATTTTGTTACCTTAACATCAGTCATTGCCACACTGTTCACAGTCAATGGAGTGTACAATTGTTTCTTTGAAATGGTAAACTGCATTGAAACAGTTTTCCCTTCATTTACTATATTTTGTTTTTATGGAACCAATTTTATACATTTCATATTGCACAATTTACTGTTAATTATTCAAAAAAATATTTGTATCATCAGCAATGAGAACTGTTCTTCCCTTTCAAATTTACCAGGGCATATTGTTAATGTATAGTAAAATGATAATAGGATCTAAAATTGAACCCTGCAGGTCCCCCTACGCAATTGGCAATGAATTGCAAAGGTGACTAAATGATGTCCATTCGTTCTAGTACTGTGTTTCTACCTTCTGAGACTGTTGTTTAAGGTATGACCATAATCAATCCAGAACAATATCACAAATTCAATACAAATTAAATTTTGAAAGTAAAATGTAATGAACAATTATGTCAAACACTTTTGAAAGATCTAAAAGTATTCTAATAGGTGCTTCATTTTGATACATTAATGAAATAATATCTTTAAGAAAAGAAAATATGTTGTTTTGCGGTAATTTTTTTTCCTAAATCCATGTTTGCCAACCAAAAAAAAAAAATGCTTTGTATTTACTGCAAAAGGTTTCCACTGGTAAACAAAAGTATCGCTAATAGTTTTGAGAAAACTGACAAAAGAGAAATTGGCCAATTATTTTGAATTTCAATTATGTTGCCTTTTTTGAAGAGTTGAGAACTTAAGCTATTTTGAAAATATCTGGAAATATTCCAGTGCAAAGGAAGCATTAAATATGTGAGTAATGAGTGCAGGTGCACACGTCTTTAAGAAACAATCTGGAAATCCATTTAAACCAGCCAAAACTCATTCTTTAGTTTACAGATTATTTTGAGAATTTCATACGAAGAAATTTCGGAACAAACATCGTGTTGAAAATTTTTGTGAAAACATCTGATGTTGAATTGTGTTTCTTCGGATCCATAATAGACCATCCACAATTCCCGAAAACTATTGGTTGAAGAGACTAGACACTGCTGCCAGTTCATTTATTTCTTTATCTTTTAAAACATTCTCTTCAAGGTTTCTAATTTATGTAAATTTTTTACTACATTCCACATAACTTTTGTTTATCTGAATTTTTGGAAGTAAAGGTGGAAATCATTACATACATTATGATGTTTAGAAGGAATTTGTTTGGTTTTACAATATGTTCTAATCTCCCTTGTTATCCAAGTATTGCTTTTTCATGAACTATTTAATTTTTTTTTCTAGCAGAAAGCACATATTAAAATGAAATTAAAGTATAAAAAAATAATTATATTTGTCTTTGATATCAACAGCATTGTAAACTGAGTCTCATGATTTCTGATTTTCTGATTGTAAACTGAGTCTATGAATAATTTTATTTCACTTTTAGTAAATAATCTACACAAATGTGTATTATTTAATGTGACAGTATTTGCATTTCTTGTAATTAAAATGATTTGTACTTCATGGACACTGTATTTTAATTCTTTCATTGCAATTTTATACCTAGGAGAGGTTTTGTTCATTTTCTAGTAGTGATTTTGGAAGAAATAGAGATAAAAAAATCGACGTTCATACACAAGTTCGCATACCACATTACACCACAGAGATTGAATAATAAAAAATAAATTTTTTGCGCAAAATTTCCCAAAGTTGAAAACTTGCCGCTCTCTCCCATGTTACCCACAAAACAGAGATGTGAGAGTTTGCAGTTCACAACATGATTATGTAAACATTAAATAAAACGAATTACAACTAGTATATTCTGTTAAACAATGTGAAAGAACTGTTAAAGAATCAGAGGCTAAAAACATTGTGTCGACGAAAATCTGGTGAAATAGAAGGGAATGTTTTCAGGTGGTTAAATATGAAAGACTAACACAAATTCAATGCCGAAAACTTTCAGGGATGCCTAAATCATCAAAAGACAGTGGTATGAGAGGATGAGACCTTTTCATATTTAGGAAGTTATCTTATATTCAAGGTATAAATATAGTATAGTAAATACATGAGAGGAGAGAATAGAGGTGTCAGACATAGAGAGAGAGACAGAGAGAGAAGGGAGAAGGAGAGAAAGAGAGAGAATTATGTTACACACAAAGGTTGTCTTCATAGATTCAAGGATTAAAATTAGGGATTGAAAGTGAACAATAAACGAAGAACCTGCTCATCTGTCAACACAAGTAAGAAAGTAACTTCAATCTGTAAGAAATGCAATTTGGAAAATGAAACAGGTTCAAATTATTGGTTATAAATAATACTTTCAAGAGGTCTAATAATAATAAAATGCATTTTTCATTATGTGGTATATATGATGAACGAAATATATTGCTCTATGTAAATTTTGGAAGATTATTTTGAACTAATTCGAGTGTGATTTAAATGAAGATAAAGGTAAAGGCAGGATTGTGGTGTTGCCAATGCAATTGATTTTGAGGAGATTGAAGATTTTCTGAAGTGTAATGGTGAAATGTTTTACAATCATTCAACTGAGATTTTCCATTTTCATGCAAGAAAATTTACTCAGAAAAATTGATGCACTTAAAAATAAGGAAGGATTGATGCATTTATAAATTTGGAAGGCTACAACAAATCTCACATTTTTTTCAAGAATCATTTATATTATTCAAGTATTGCTCATAGAAAAATACACCTCAGATAAATACACCCAAAGGAATACAGTCAAAAGCCTATTCTAAAATCGGAATTTTCATTATTAAGTTGTTGTTTTTTAACACTGTAAGTGTAAGAGAAGCAACCATAAATTCTAATAAGGCCACCATGAACTTATTTTCTCAAACAAAATGAAATAAAACCATGCATTCACTGTTCTAGAAAAGTAAACTTTATACTTCGTAAAAAAGTATTTCATCAAAACTAACAGAAAAAATGTAATACATATTTGAAAGTTATATACTTCACTCAGGTATTTTATGTATCTTTTTTTTCCCCAGATGTTTTTGTCGCACTGAATTACTTTGTTGTGTCATGTTCCACCCCCAAAATTTTTAATGTGAAAAATTCCTTGGCTTCACAATTCATTTGATACAAACTACACTATAAGCACATTATTTTATCAAGTAAAATAAAACTGCCTATATGCAAAATAATTCAAATCCTGAAGAATCATACTCCTGAAAGTGGAAGTTTAGGAGAGAAAGAAAAATAATTCAAAAAAAATCACCAAAAATCAACAAACCAAATGGTATAAATTTGTAGTCATACTAAACTAGAATACGAACTACCAAAGCCACTGCTAACTTTCATTAGTGAAAGTACAACATAACTTTAATTACTTTAAAAGAGCACTACCATCTTGTAAAGATGATTAACATGACCAGTGGCATAACATTCAGGCCCACAATGCAGGCAGGCTCAGATAAGAGGGCCTGTTTTAGGGGTAGTACTACTTGTGTTAGCTTTACACTTTTATAAAGGGGATCCGGATTATTTTTTTTTTGCAGGAGGACCCACTCTCATTTCATTACGCTACTGAACATCACACTCGTTCATAGTCCAAAACAACAATACTTCAGAATATTGAAGCTTACATAAGATTTTCACTCTAAAATTTGGTAAATCAGAATTTTAAAAAAATATATTTTTTTTGTTTGAATGTAATCAACTTGGAAATGAATTAAGACTTTTCAAGAGCTGCACCCACCTGCCTGGAAGTTCACACAAGGAGAGTAGGAACAGGTTTCTTCCCTGGCCACGCCTCTTTCGCATATTTCTTCTTCTTAGGCTCGTGGCTGAGCTCTGCAGCAGCTGCAGACACTGCTCCAGGAGCACCAGGAAGAGGAGCCGGTGGGAGAGGAGGCGGTGCCATTTCCACTTCTGGTGCTGGATTTGGCAAGGTCAAACCCAGTCGAGATGCCAAAGACGATGAAAACATCAAGGGGTTTGAATGACTCATGCCCATCCCTGACACAAAAAATGTACAAAACACGCTTAATTTACCTCACAGTTCACAGATCAGTTTTGTGAGTGATTAAGAACACAAAGGACTGCAGCATCATTTTTTACACATACTGAATATTTGTCCATACTGTTGACACATAAAAGAAATTGTGATAAAAAACAAACAGAATTTTGGAAAACAGACTTCTCATTTAAATCTAGAATTAAAAATGGGCCTTCTGCTTAGATTTAACCCACTACTTCTTCTTCTACTACTTCAACCTTCTACTTTGTAAGTAAACACTTTTCTAAGATTTGTCAGAATCCCAACAACTTAGCATTGCCAATTTTGCACTAAAAAATCTGCCAAGTCCAGTATATGTTACTAAACAAACCACAAAAATGTAGACATAATCACCAAGTTAATTTTTTTTAACAAGATTTTTAATGAAGTTTCCACTTTTTTAAGAAATGGGGTAATATGTATGTCGTATCTAGGAATAACACATCAATAATCAAATTCATATCACACTGAAGCACTCTTTATCATAAAACTTTGCCGATGCAAACTACACATAGTAAACAAAATGCATTACTTCATAATAAATTATGTTGAAACGATCACTGATCTAATATAGAACAAATAATATTTACACTTCACACAAAACAACATTCCAGCTAGTCATTTAAAATTTACAAAGGAACAAAAACTATTTTTGTCCTTCTGAACATCACATTGTCATCTTCTTCTTGCCAGTTTCTCAACTGCTACTTCGGCCTTCTGGCACCTAATCTTCTTCTCAGGTCTTCTCTGTTCTTCCAGGAATCGGGAGGTAATTTCCACTTCTCAATGATCTTTCTGATCTGGTCATTCCACCCTGATCTTCTTGGTCTTCCTCATTTTCTCCTTTCATTTGGTTGCCATTCTAATAATCTTTTGGGAAGTATTTTCTCGTCCATTCCCTGTACATGTTCAAACCGAGAGAGTTGTTTCTTTTCAATTTCCTCTATAATATCCTGTTGCACATTCATTATTTCATTAACCCGTTCATTCTTTCCCTTCTCGATATTGCGGCAACTCACTGAGGAAATCCATTCCCCAAGCTCTCAATTTCCTTTTCTGTGGTTCTGGAAGTTGCCATATTTCTGCTCAATAAAATGTAACATTTTTAATCATACATTAAAAATACGTCCTAATTTTCGTTTTCTTGCTTATATTTAGATCCCAGATCACCAGATTCAGAACTCCTAAAATGTTTCTTCCTTTAATGAGTCGGGTTTTACATTCCTTTCCATAAAAAAAACTGTTTCCCTATTGTTGTTCCCAAGTACTTTATGACCTCTGTTGTTATTTCTTCAACTGTTTTCATAGTCAATATGTCATGTGCACTGCCTAGCGTCTGGTACACTGTTTTTCTGGGTTAAGGCTCAGTTACCATTTCTCATAATCTTCTTTTTTCTTCTTAGTCATATATTCATCATCTTCCTGTTCTGGCGCTATCATTCATCTTCCTGTTCTTGCACTATCATTCATCTTCCTGTTCTTGCGCTATGAACATCTGATCAGCGAACTGTAGGGTATAGAGTGTTGTATTATTATCATTATACATTATCATGTATTCCCATCCCAGCACAATTTCTTTTCCATACCTGTAACATCACACCGCATTAACATAAATTTTAAAGAGGGTAGGTGACAAACAGCATCTTTGCTGCAGTCTTTTTGATATAGAAATTTTTGGGTCATCTGTTTTACACGTTTCACTTTTCCCTTTTGATCTATATACAATTCGTTCTCTGCATTTATTAAGATTTTATTTACATTACTTTTATTCATAACTGCCCATAACTTCACGACTGGCACACTATCTCAGGCCTTTGCTATATTAAGGAAGACCATATGAAATTCTCTCCCTTTACCATTTCTTTTGCATCACCTGGGACAGACAAAACAGGTTATCTAAGCAAGATCAACCTGCCCACTTTGTCCTTCTTAGTACTCCTTGTATCGATCTTGTATTGGAAGAATATTAATTATCTTAATATTCTTCCAATACACCTTACTGAACTAGTTTGCCACTGCTATCCTTCTATAATATTCATACATGTCTTTCCTTTCTTTAGTATATATTGGTGTTATATAAGCCATTTTCCAGTCTTCGGTTATATCACTTTTATTTATATACGTGTAATTAGCTTTATCGTCATCTGCACTAGCTTTTGTGGTCCATTCTTTATCGATTCGTTTGGGATTTCTCCTGGATCTGGAGCCTTACAGCCTTTCCTTTCTTTGATATATTTCTTAACCCTCTCTTGGTTACTGTAATTTCTCTGGCCTTTTCCATGATTGTAGTTCCAAGAAAATATGATCTCCCCTCATTTTTATAAATTTTTAAAGTACTCTTCCCATTTGCTTACAAATATACTTTGTATGCACAATATTTTCCATTTGGGGAAATTTTACCTCTTTTATCAACTTCCAAATCTCACTTGTTTTTGTTCATCTATGTACATTTCTACTTCTTGACATTTACACTTCCATGATTGTTGTTTTTCTTTTCATATCATGTTTCTAACTCTATTTTGTTGGATTTTATACTCCACCCTACTTTCTACTTTCTTGGAACTCAACCATTTTCCATATAGTCTCTTTCTTCTTCTCCTCTATTTCCTACTCCAGGTCTTCAGTAATGCAATAGCTCTTCCCTCTCCTTTTCTTATTTAAAGATATTGCTTCAAGTGCTTTCAAGTCTTTAGCCACTTGATGTAGACCATCTTTGAGGTGTTCATATACCTCCTTATTTGATCCAAATATGTTTTCATTCACTAAATTATCCAATCTCTATTGAAATATCTTATCTGATTGTGATAGACCTGCTCTATTATATTTCCTACTTCTTGTTGTTATTTTTAATAATTTTTTTTCCCTTCTTTATGTTCTTTAATCTCAATTTCTTTTTATCTTAGGGTGAAAACATAATTTTGGCATTCAGTGGATAATGGTTGGATGTACATTAAGAACCTTTGTGTGCCCTGACATTCATTACTTTACCAGTTAAATACTGTCTTGTGGTTACGTAATCGATCATTGACCTCCTTCTTCTTACCTTATCTTCCTAAGTGAACATATGCTTATTGTATGTTGAAAGTGACCGTTTCTAATTATAAGTTCATGCTGTTCACATAGTTCAATCAATTTTCTTCCATTCCAATTTTCCACCTTTTCTCCACGTTATCCAACGACTTTTGAGCTCTCAGATTTTCCCACTCTAGCATTAAAATTGCCCAATAAGACAAGTTCTCTATTTACTTCACATTCACTGATTATCCCATCTATTTTTTAGTATTTTATACTACCCCTCTGATCTCTTGGTACTCTGCTCCAAATATGAACATACGGTCCAATATCTTCTTTAGCTGAGCTCTTTTCCTTTGTCTCGCTTAAACTTGCAATATCCATATTTAAATTTTGAAGTTCCTCAATTACTTCCTGTACCTTATTTCCCAAACCTTGAATATTCCATGTTCCAATATTCATTATCAATTTCCTTGCTTAGTTCATCTCCGGTTACCAACATATTTCTCGTGCTTAGGCCGTTTAGCATTTTGTGTCTTTAGCAATTTTAGGCCTTTAGCAATTTTTACATGGACGACGACGAGCTGACCCATCGTCTCAACCCCCTACTAGGAAGACCAGGATTTATTTTTGGAGTTTATTCCCCTAGGAGGCCAGCTTCACAGAGCCCTTGAGCTCCACCTGCCCAGATCTCTCTTGGAATCTCCTTGTTCCATTGGCAAGATCATAACCATGTCCTTCATCCCTAGGTAGAAGTTTAGATTAGGATTTCTGGCTAAATCTTCAAGGTCATCTTCGTAGTTTCAAGATCCTCTTCAGCGCCTCTCCACCACATTGTCATTTAATGTAAAAAATTCAGTTACTTACAATACTATTTACTACAATTCACAATTTCTTTATAAAACTAATTTGTTATAAATGTTTTCTAATTAATAACTACTCCATAACCATGGCTTTCAATACTTACCAGCTGCAGCATTTGGCACACCACTGTTTGAATGAGCACCAGCCTCTGGAGGTAGATCCTGATATAAATGAGGCACCATAGCAGAAGGATGTAAATGTTTCATCATGGTAATACGGTCTTCAGAAGACCCAGTTAAACCACTAGTTGGTCCTACACCGTCAATTCGCTGACGCTGTGAAACAAGGAAATATTTCTCTCATAATAAGAACAATCAGTGCTCAAATTACAAATACTTTATTGAGAAAATATGCCAATAAACTTTCCCAAAGCTTTTCTATAATTAAATGTATTGTTGGCATTGAAATCAACAAATCAACAGAATATAACTGTTAATACAAATAATAAAGCACCAGCTGCTCTTAATAGAAATGTACCTTGGTAGGAATGACTGTGGTGTGAACCATGTTACGAAAGCGTCCAACTGAAGGGTCCACGTCTTCTGGGTTAATGACTTCCTCTTCTTCACTAAAAGTAAGAAGTTTCTTCTTACGCTTTCGTGAGGTGGGTCGAATTTCTTCATCAGGAATACCCAACATAGATATACGACGATTATGAGCTGTATTGAACTCTGTGAGATTCTGCAAAGGAAAGAAACAGACTCTATCTAAGATGAGTGTTTCACAAATATTTAAACAAAATAATAAGTTATACACAATTTTTATAATGTTGTTCATTTTCTAACATGTACTTACATCCAATTCTGTTTCAGTTTCAGGAAGACCAAGAAGACCACCTTCAGCTTCTTCAGAATTCTTTTCAAGTTCTTCGATGATGGGTCGTGACCCTGTTTGTGGTCTTTCACGTATTATATAATAACGCGTCGATGCACCAAAATGAAACGTACTGTCAATAGGTAATTGTGTTGGCTTATGAGCTTCCAAACGCAAAGATCCGATAAAAGTACCATGAGCTATACAAAATTAAATAGATCTGTCACTGTAATAGTTTCCAACTTCCTAAATTTTGTGATAAATATATGACTGATAATGCAAAATATATTCAGTAATATATATTACTGTGATATACAAAAGACTGATTATACAGAAAAATTTAATAATTAAGAAAAGTTTTAACAAATTTGCACAATAACAATAAAACAAACTTCTAATTCATATGGAGAAAACATATTTAATTAAACTCAAATTCAACTTACTGCTGCCAAGGTCAACAAGGAAAGCACGATTTAGCTGCTTATGATATACAAGAGCAGAATGCACTCGAGAACATGATGCATGGTCTATACAAAAGTCATTTAACTGAGGATTGCGCCCAAATAAATAACACTTCTTTTCATCGATCATTAATTTCTGAAAAATAAAAATTTACAACAGAATGACAACAGATGAAGAAAGTTCACAAAACTGACCACTGTTGTAGAGTACTGACATGTAATGACTAAATTGTATTTACCTGAATTAGCTTGTCTCCTTTCAGGACATCTAAATGAAGACCTACCGGAGGTTTCCCTGCCCTGTATCAATCAAAATAATAACATAACCTTAAATCACAACATTCTGCTTCATCTAAGTTCAGCAGAAAGATACATTCCAGCCCACCAACTGACAAGTAGCCCATAGCGATATGATATTACAAAACTCTGAGCCAGAAATGCTTATAGTTATATTAGACAACATTTTCACAAAAATACCCACCAAGAAGGAACATCATAATGGTTTGCCATTTTTATAAACACTGGCACACATCACGTGATTAATCTTCATACAATCCTATTCGAAAGTAATTAGTTTCAAAATAACAATACGATTCCTTAAAATGAAAGTACAAACATTAACACACAGCGTTCTAACAATTATATCTTCAGTTTACGGATAGTAGCCGGTACTAGTCCAAATTTCATAGCAAAGAAACTTTTAGATCCGATATGTTGGCAACGGCTGACACGACACCTGAGAAGAGAGGCAAACCAAATCGGGCTCGTAATAAAACCAAACTTAAAGCACACGATTTTTAAATGCTGTCAATGGAACATGATATCTACTGCTTTAAAATGTAACTTTGCTCACCTCATTACTACTATTGTTCTTAGAATTTATAGATCTCTTCACTTTTTAGTGCTAGCGGAAACAAAAACAAATACTACACGTACTCTTCTTTCTGTCTTGTATATATATTAGTAGACGTTACAAACTTGTTTTAGTGCCGTATTTCAGTAAGAGACGTGATTTTTTTAAAATCATTTTTGGGGCCCATTATTCTTAAATATTACACTGAAAAAGTTTTCGAAAATAATAGTACCTAATTCGAAATTTATAAATTATGGATCGGCAGGCAAATCTCAACGCTTTCAAAGCAAATCTGCACTTCTGAAAAAGGAAAAAAACACCATTACACCATCAAATGTAACATAAAACATCAAGAAGGAGCTTCAGAAGAGAAGGCGGACAGTGGCGGATCCAGGGGGGAATGGCGTCATGACCCATTATTTCGTGGTCATTTTACCGGATTTATTCCAAACATTGACTTCATCACAACTAACTTAATGGGTACCTTCATTAATTTCCAAACATTCCTAACTGATATCCGCTAAATGTTTTCTGGATCCGCCTCTTGGGCTTATTTAGTAGGTACTTTGAAGTTCCGTCAATCACCAATCGTCACCAAACACGAAAGTGACACATGAAAGTGCTCGTTTGGAAACTGATGAGGGCAATTTTCATTACTGAGCGAAGGAAGAAACTTATGCCCTTAAAGTCTTAGGTGGCCACTGCAGGGTAGTGCCTTTGCCCCCATTGTCTGAATGATGGAAGGGGTGATCAACAGGGGAGAATGATCTTCACTGAGATTAGGATGCAAATTGGCAGGACAGAGGTGCCTACAATCGTCCATTCTTATAGAATTTGATGCTCCCTTCGAAACAAATATTAATTTGTTCCTGCCAAGAACAAAATTAGTCTGAATCTACTAGGTTCCTCATTTTAAGGAGTGCACACAGGGGAGGGGGAGGACAGATGATGTTGGAATGCTTCTGAAAATTTGGAAAGGGACCCCAAAGCCTTATAAAATTAAAAATTTTATTTCCTTGTTACGTTCCATTCCTGACTTTCCCCCTTTTTTAATCTGACAATTTCTAAAATTATTATTTGAAGGAGTTGTTCTTCAAGTCATTTGACAACTGTTTAACATAAAATCAACTGTTTTTATTAAGAAGTCTAGTATCATTAGATTTGTAATTTCATTCTCATATGTTTTATTCATGTACTAGTAAAAATATGTCATTTGTGCAACATAATTTTTAAAGGTTCAATGGTAAAGGGAGTCCAGAAATGTAAATTGCCTTCTCTCCTTTACTTTTTCTTATTTTTTTCTCTTTTTCTTTCTTTCTTTCTTTTCTTTGACTAACCTTAATAAACTTTCTGCCTCTTTCTTCTTTTCTTTGCTTTCATATCTCTTTCATACTGGCCCAATATTTCTTTTTCATCTCCTCAGTCCAAATAGCCCCCTCTTTTTTGGCTCGTACTCAAATCCTGGGGAATTCTAAAGTTCGGTTTTCATTGAAGACTATTCAGTAATATCTGCTGGTGCAATCACCTTTTTTTTAATTCTCTTATTTATTATTAATCTCCTTTTTTTATTACTTTTTTTCATTGCAAATTGGCCTTTCTAAATACCATGCGCACATGTACCCACTGAGACCCAGTCATATTTTTTTCTGGGGGTATGCACATGAATTTTTATTAGGGGAGATCAGCATGTCTGCTGAGTCCATTTTTGCACTCCAGGGTTGTTAGCCCTGGGGGTATGGAAGATGAAATGATGACAATAGTGGTGGGTGATAGGACAACATAAACTTACAGACATACACAAACACACCTATGCCCGAGGCAGGACTCAAACCTGTTATTTTCTGATTTGAGACCACAACGGTACTACTGCCATCGCAATCTCAGCCATCTGATCGGCCTTTTTTTATTTTATTTTTTCCCTTGCGTTCACCATAAATTAATGAACTAAAACTTTCTTAAGAGTATTCTTAGGATTTATTCAGTCTATCTTTGAATACAATGATAGTACAGCATTCGTTTCCTTATCAATTTGTCCTCTCCACTGGACAAATTGTCAACATCCCCCTCTACAGAAAACTGCCAATTCATCTTGATGTGAATGGTGGCTCAGAAGGGGTGTGAGAAATCTAAATGTGTATGGGTGAAAATGCACATGCATTTGAACTTACAGCTATCAGCTCCACATATTTATATGCTGCTCAAAATTCCTAGTTAATCAAGAAACAAGGTTGATTAGGTATTTCTGTATTAAAATGCTGTAGAGATTTCACATGCTTTAACAACCTTCTCCATCTCTAAAAATACTCTCTGTGCTATGGTTTGTAGATTGCTGTTCTATGATGCAATGTTTTCTTAAAATTAAGACTTGTAACTAGCCATTGCTGTGCCTATTGTTCAAATTCCTTACTTTGCTTTTTTAAAATAGTATTTAGTCCCTCCTCCTTATGACTGTCATATTTCTTACCTGGTAGACTATTTTTCAGGGAACAATTGATCACAAACCATCAGAATTCGAAGTCTAAAATATTTTAAAAGCAAATTGTTTTTAACATATTTTCAGCATTCCAGTCCCAGTTGGCTTCTTTCTTCCTCAAATAAATATGTTTTATCATGTTTAATAAAATTTACAATGAGTCACATTTTGTAATACTATTGGTGTATACAAGCTAATATTAACAGGCCTCTGAGCAGTCATGTAAGTGAAGACATGTCCTAGAATATCAACCTGGGTTGTGTGTAGACAAGGGGTAGAAAGGGAAAGCTTGTCTGCTCTTCCAAAAAAAGGTATTTTGGGGGACCCTTTTGAAATTACTGCGAACAAGCAATTCTATCTGTCTGAACTGACATTTTTTTAAGGGTTGAGCATAACATGTAAACATTCTATCTCTGGGTACCTACTTGGAGTTACAATATCAATCTCTTCATGTGTAATTTGTGATGATAAAGTGGCTTGTGGTAAGTTTTCTTGAGGTTTTTTTATTTACATGCTTCCCCACTATTCATTCCCTCATCTATTAGCATTATTGATTATCCCCAGTGTACAAAAGCTTGAAAATCATAACAGTAATAATGACCGCCTTCAATGTCACTCTGATCAGCTTCATAAAGTATGTATTTACCTTGTGTGATTGGTGAAATCTTTTAGAATCTAGGTTAGTGAAATATAAACTTTATTTAGTTTGAGATTCCACAAACAATTATCAGGGGATATGAAAAGATTTTTCCATTTAAATGTGATGATTTTATTACAATTAATGAACATTAATTTGAAAAGTATATTGTTTCCTCTACGAATAAATAAGAATATTTCAGGGGAAAGGTAACATGTAATGCAAGAAATATTTTCCTTAATAAGACAAAATATTAAACATTTTATGTATTGTTTTTTTTATTTAAAGCAATACACAGAGGAACAGTTCAAATATTACATTCAAACTTTTTTATTTAGGTATTTGTTTTGTTTAATGAATGTTTATTCTTCAGCATGACAACTGAACTTTGTCACTTTTCTAGCAAAGATGGCTGAAAGATTTCATGATCTCCTTTGCATGGGTCTCAAAAGTATCTCTCTCGGATGCACTAGTATCAAAGACTTTCAAGGCAATACAAAAGTAGTATGTAATTACATGTAATCACACTATTTTTTCAAAACACCTCAGACTCATGAATTTGTCCCATGAATTCCACAAATGATCATGTACAATCACGTGTGCTTGCTGAAATGCCTCGCAGTTCACTGTTGATTGTCCTGAGCAGTGGATAAGTACCACATCCACATCGGTTACGGAAATCGTCCAGATCAAGGGCCCAAATCATACCTCCTCCAAGGCCCAAACTTTTCACGAATCGTGACTGCATTGGAAAAATATAGTACTGTAGTACACTCACAGAAACCTCACATTGACTTTCTTAAGTTAATTGAAATGTCTTATAAAATCACACACTACTGATATTTTTATCTTTAATATCTGCATTTTTTCAAACTCACCTTTCTTCTAATGTCTTCAACATCGTCATAAGAGACCCACTGATTGCCATGATAGGCGTAAGGTCCCATGCGACCTTGTGGGTCTCGCACTGGAGTCCAGCCTTTGTTTTTCACATTGTAACATATCTGGAAAATAACATTTAAAGCATTATTAGAAGGCAAATGTTAACTTTATCAACTTCTTTCAGCGCATTTAAATTGTATACTGTTTTACACATCTTCTGAAAACTATATAATGAATGTAAAGAGCCAAATGATAATTGAAATTAAACTCACGGTGCTACAACATTTCGCGTTAATTGTAACGTTTTCAATTTTCGAAAATTCTGAGTTCAACGAATATGAGACCTGCGCCATATTTTTAAGAGCACACTATCCGATGGAAAAAAATTTAAAAATGGGAGCCATTTTTAGAAAGTATTTGTTTAAAAATTGCTTAATTTTCACGCAAAATTATGCAAAAATTACTCGCATTTCCAAAAATTGAACATGACTTTATTTAAAGAGCTGTCTTTCAAGAAAAATTTTCATTCATAAAAGAAATCGGATATAGTTTACTTAATGGGAATCGACGCCATTTTTGTTTTTACTTTGTCACAGTACCAACTTCAGGGATTTTAAAAATGAAGTGAGGATTAATTCAGCCAATACAACAGCCCCAGTGTATTTTGAAAGCACGTATTATACGCGCACGTTTTCTTGAGCCCCGGAATACCTATCCCCTCTCTTTTGCCCACATTAGTTGATCGAGGAATAAATGATAGCAACGAGCATTGTAGACAAAATCTGATAACCAGAAATGTTTGCTCCGGTGTTATAGAAAATATTTTGTATTGAAAAACAAACTACAAATTTGATACAAAATTCCTTTTGCCAAAATAACCAAAACTCGCCACTCCCCTCGTTACTAGCGAAGCGAGAGATCAATAAAACGTGCGCGGATAATACAATGAATACCCATGAGGGAGAAAGTAAGTGTCGTACTTACGAATCATAATACTTGATAACATAAGTTATAATCATAATACTAAATAACATAATTACATAAGTTACTTTTCGGGTGCAATGGCGCTTGACTTTGCAAGTCGA